GGATCTCCTACATGTGGGACTGTGTTTTGCCCCTTGGACCCAGTGGCTTGAAACTCATGCCAGGCGTGTGTGCGCGCGTGTGTGTGCACGTGCATACACACGCATGCGCACCTAAGATCCTGAGAGGAGAATTAAAAATGGACTGCAAACACGGCAGTCCCCGGGGGTGATTTCTCACTTTCCCTCTCTCTGTCTCTGTCACTCTGGCAAGTGTACATGCCTTAAGGTAAAAACCTCTATAAAGAGAAACAAGCAAAAAATATTATCCCTTACTCAAGGTATCAGTGCTCATTCTTCTGATTAGCCAACATCTCATTAGTCCCTCTACAAATTAGATGCCTTCCACATTTGAAATGTTTGCAAGGCTGGCTTAAACACCAAAGGACAAATCAACATTCACCTTAATTTCATGAACAAAGGAGTAGTTATAGCAGAGAATATTTCCTCACTCAAGGAACAGACCTAAAACATTCATTATCTTTACTCACTAAAAGTGCTATTTATAAGACAGTAATCAGCATTCTAAGCTATATCAAAAACCACTATGAAAGTTACTTCTTGAATATTATAGCAAAACTGAAAATATATTTTTTGTGCGTTATGTTCTAAACTGTCTTTAATACACAGGTTTGATGGACTCCAAAACCTGACAAACCCCCAAATCATAACAAGGTCATATTAAATGTGTCTTAATTTATACTCTCGAAGTAATTCTAGAACTTGGTCCTAAAGTACCCTTCCAATATTGCATTATAACCTCACCAAGAGTACATTTTCAACATATATCAATTAAACAGACTTACCTGGAAAAAAACAAAAACTCTGCATTAATTTCCCCACTTACCTATTAGGTTGTCGGGAAAGGCATAATGTATTTTTCTACATTTTTTTAATGCAAAAAGGCACCTTGACTTTCCCGATGACCGAATAGAAAGAACTAGAAAAGGATTTTTAAAATGAAAGAACTGAATGACCATATATTTGCATACTCTTCTATTTTTGTTCTTTCCTGTATGCCAGTCCTCTGTTCCTAAACTCCTAGTGGGCAAATAATTAATTACTCTATATGCACACATAGAAAAACTATAAACATTTCAAATTCTCCTTTAAAAGGGCAAATTTTTTCAGGGCAAATTTTACTATAGGTGACACCAGTATAACTGAATTCCTTTAATTAAATATAGATAAAATGGGATTCTATTTGGTCATCAAAAAAGTCTTGACACTTTTGTGTAAAAAAAAAAAAAAAAACCATCGTGATTTTTCGAATGACCCAACAGTTTAGTCATACGACTGCCTTTTCTACAATAGCTCATCCTAAAAGCCCTATCTCCTGAATGCTTACCTTAAAATTAATTTGCATCATTGGAAGAAGGTGAACCAGTGAGCTGCACATGTCTGTAGTGATGAGGGAATTAATTTCTGGTATATTAAGGCACTGTAAGGTTTTATATTTCTCTTGGGACATGCCCACTTTTGAACCTAAAACATCAGCAATAGCTAGGACAAGAAAAGGTTAAAAATAGTAAAATTACAGCTTGCAGAAAAAAATAATAAAGTTGTAGTGACAACTAGAATTAAATTTTAAGATAAAAATTTACCAAATAAAAGGAATTTCAAAATATTCACTTTAACCATAATCTCTCAAAAAAGGTTAAATCTTTTTTATTTTTGTATAGAAACTGTATAGAATAAATTGTGAGAAAACCAAGAATTTATTTATAAAGGACTAGCGGTAAAAAACTGCAAAAGATAAATACAAAGTGGTAAAGGAAGGGAAGAAACTAAATGTAGAGAAGTTAAAATTCTGGCTTTATCACCTCATATCTTAATGTCTGACATAATGTGACCATAATTAAGAAGAAATAGAAAGTACTTTGCAAAAATAGTACAATGCTATCTAGACGAACTGCAGTTATACATATAGAAGTTATTTATAAAATGTTAAATGTTCTCTAAGATAATTAACTGATGGTTATCCTCAAAGAATGTAACATACAACTATGCATTAATTATCTTTAAAAGTTTATTAAAATAATAATGTAGCACGGACATTTGCTGTATAAACATCTTGTAGCTATAAAGGCTAAAATAAACTAATCAAATGTTTTCATGAAGTTAAGCCTTTCAAAGTTTAAATGTATCAAACGCTATCAAATTTTCTAACAACTTTAAATGTAATCTTGAATAATTTCCAGAAATAAATATCAAACCCAAGACTAGAGAGTGAAAGGACGTAATGCAAAAAGAATCTGATCTTTTATAATATATTCAGGTAAATTAGATACGGCTACCACCCACCTAGGAAGACTTTCTCTTTTCCAATAGAGTAAGTGCCACAGACAACAAGAGAACGTGGGTTTAGAGTTACGGCCTCAAAGGCAGTGTTGATGGCAGACTGGATAACCTCTTGCTGAGATGGAAAGGTGTATTCTGGGCTGCAGTACCTAGTATGGAAATGTGGTACTTATTACAAAAACAGCAAGAAATCCATAATCTTAAATTGAATGCTATTTCAGAAATAAGCTAAGGCAAATTACATACAATGGCAGTATAATAAATCATTCAAATTATTAGTAATTACCTCACTGACTGGGACTAAAATAGTTGTTACAAATTATTGCTCATTTATGATAGAATTTTAAGTTTATAATAAATTTTTTCATTATATTTGTTTTACCATCCTCAAATTGATGAAGTACTTTAACATATAATATCATGTTCTAAACCATAAGTATATAAAATTTTAATCTATTATATACATTAAAAAAGCCAGGCATATATATATATATATATAAACATTAAATTATAATAGCTTATGCCATTATATTTATAGCACTCAGGAAATGAAAGCTGTCACTAACATGTTACCTTTTTAAGGAAAGAAGAGAAGTAATTTTGAAACAGAATCACATTTTGGCCTCCATTTTCTCTTCACAATTACACTTAATTGCTACATGGATATTTTGAAAGGATATTGCAAGAGGGTGTTTTCCTAAAGTTAGCTCTCAAATTTTTCTTCTTTGTTTTGCTAAAAGAATTCCCATATAAAAATATTTTCTCCAAAATAATTTGATCTCTTGTCAGTTAAGTCATGTAATCTCAAAGTTGCCTCTTAGCAAGTACATTTTTTCAAGTATCATTGCTCTTATAAATAGCCTTAAAAATAATAATTGGCAATAAGTCATCATTTTTATTACTTATGCAAAGGCTCAAATTATTTACACTTTCAGAGCAAATGCTGTCAGTGGGAAAAAGATGGATACAAAGAAAGCCTTACGTTGTATCTAAGTACAGCGTGTGGACTTTCTGGCCTGTGAGAAGAGATCGTTCCATGCTGGGATCTGCTCTGAAGTCTCCGGTGTGTAATGTGACAGTACCATTAGGAAGATAAAAAAGGATCATGACGGCACCTGGACAGCTGAACACAAACAATATAAGGAAATATTCTTAACACAGGCAAAGCGCTTGAAGGAAGAACACATATTTTAAATATTAACAACTTAACATAGCTTATTAGCTGACCACGATAACAAAGCATTGTACTGTAATAGAAGTGCAATACCTTAACTCAAAGAAATTTACATTAAAAAAAAAAAAAAAAGAATTGATGTGCAGGAAAGGATTAACCTGGCAGGCCTGTGCTGCTCCAACTGCACATTCCCAAGAAAGGCCTGTCCTCAGGACTGGCCCTTGGCCGACTCTAGGGAAATAGGCTCTGAGCCCTTTAAATATTCTGCCTGATAAAAATGTTTTATATGCTAGCTTGATCAGATAGTTTATGCTAACTATGTGATTTATGGTGAATACCTCAATAAAGCTGACTTTAAAACCAGAACTCAATCGCTGCTTAGAAAAAGAGCAGCAAAGTTAGAATACAAATGTTAAAAAAAAAAAAAAAAAATGGCAATCCAAAATAAATATAACTTTGGCCCAGATCTTAGGAACCTAGAGTCAGTCTTTCTCTAAACATTTATGACCTCTATGGTACAGGAGGCTAATGTACCTCAAAGCAGAAAGAAGGGTACATGATAGCTATGTTTTAACAACATGAATGCTAATAGTAATTTATCTGTTTTTTTCTTAAAGAAAGAAAATGGAAATGATTTCTATGAAAAAAATCTTACAACTATTTAGTATCTAAAGCCTGAAGGATTTATTAGTTTTTGGGTGGAGAGAGTCAGGTGTCTGGTATTTGAATGGTGTATAAGTTGCTAATTTATATAAATGTTAAAGAAAATGGCGAAGATTATCTTGTAAAAAAACAGTAGCTACCTGTTAAAGTACTTTTAAAAAATAAGAGGGTAGGATAGTGGTATGGCAGTACAATGCTACACCCTGTTATACAATCCCGTATGGGAAGGTTCTCAGATTGACTCTGGAGAACTCCCTGTGAATGCCAGGCATGAGTGTGACCATGATCTAGAGGTGGCCGAAAACTTAAAAAAATAAGATGGATGGGACCAGCACTTGGTACAATGGCTATGTCTCTGGACTCCCATGTAGTTGACCATGGTTCAAGTCCCGGACCCAGTGGCTTAAACTCACGCCAGGCACGTGTGCATGCATGCCCAAGATACCAAGAGGAGAATGCAGGAGAAGGGACTGTAGCGTGGCCATTCCCCCTGGGGAGTGATTTCTTGCTTTCTGTCTCTCTGTCTCTGTCTTTCTGTACCCTATAGCAAAAACCTCTCCAAAAAAATTTTTTTTAATAAAATAAAAAATTAGATGGAGTCTCATTGTCAAGAGTAGAGATTTAAACCCAATTAAAAAAATAGGCTAGATGCATTTAGAGACTCTCTCTACATTTACTCTTGGATTCTATAATTGAGTACATGTTTTCCTCACATTCTAAGACATATCAAATATTAGGTTTAATTAAAAAGTTCTTAAATAATCATTCAACATGTTTTGCTTTTGACTATTTTAAAAAGGGGTTATTATGAAGGTGACTCTAATACTTACTGATTGGCATCAAGCAAAACAACTCTGATACCATTCACTACACATTCAGTGTCCATTGGCAGTGGATGAATATATTGTTCCTGCATATGAAGCTTGTTCTTCAACAAATTGCCAGTTATCTGCAAAACAGCAATGTGACCATGGCTGATACAGTAAAATAATATAGCAGAAATATTTTATCTCCTCATTTTCCCACTTATATTCAAGCAAACCCTCCATGATGTCAGGAAGAACTTCCTGAAATACTGTATCACTGCTCTGCTTGAACAACTGTCATTGACTGTCCCTCACGTATGAAAGGGCAGTCATTTCCACCAAGACATGCAAAACTATCCTGCTCTGGTCCCTTCCCATTGCTGAGAGTGTCTGTCCTGTTATTCCCTCTCTTAACATTTCAGCCATTCCTTATTGTCTGCAGTGCCTGGAATGGTGCATTTCTCAGGTGCCTGTGCCTTTACACATATTCCACTCTCTACCTGGGATGCTGTGTCCTCTTTCTTCTTCCAGGTCCTGAAATCAGACTTGCTTTCAAATTTCAGATCTGCTATTATTTGCTCTGTATCTTAGGGCATGTCACTTAATCTCTCATTCTGTTTCATTAATAAAAAGAAGACACGTCCAGGACGTTGTGAGGATTAAGTCAAATTCTAGCTAAAGCTCTTAGTAAATAGGCATTAAAATGTTCACTTTTTAATTAGTAGTTCAAGGTATCTCTTTCACCATGAAACTTCCTCTAATCTTAGCTTAGGAAACAGTAAAGTACTCCCTTCTTCCTACTCATTCTGTTCATTTTTTTATTTTTTACTATAATACCAATCCCACTATGGTATTATTTGCCAATGTTTTCCCTAGAAGCTATGAGCTCCTTGAAGTTGGGTATTTTGCCTTGCATTGTCTATTTAGGCATTCGATTAATGTTTACTGGATAATGTAGGTTTTTATGGTACTGTGAAAGAGTTTATCAATTGTTTCCATGTATTAAAACATGTCTTTTAAAAAACTGATTTTAACTATTGACATTAACTCATCTAATTTTAGAACCTCAATGTGCAATCGGGTTTCTCATATTCTTTCTAGTGGAATGATAGATCTGATCAGTCTAATTTTCAAACTGTTGTTTAGAAATTCACAGCATTCTACAAAGTAAGATTTTAGAATACTATACTTACCTCACTACAGTAAACTGGACATGTGAAGTTTTTAGACAATCCAGCATAATGATCAGAATGAAAATGTGTGAGGAAATAGGCCGTGCAACCTTCAACCATGCCATACTGGAAGGCATCAACTGTAAAGCCAGTCCCTGTAATGAAAATGCCAATACAGCAGGCAGAGCAACAGTTACCAAAGACATCTGATTGGATTACTTATCTTCTTTACACCTCTTTTTCAATGTAACTATTGTGTGTGTGTGTGTGTATAACTTGTATATATATATAAAACATATATTATATATGTGATATTTTATGTACATATATACATACACACATACATATATATTTCATTTTAGATATTTGCCATAGGGCATGTGTGTTCACCAGAGAGAGATAGAGACAGAGAGAAGGAAAGTCAGAGATCAACCCCCAGGGGGGATGGTCACAGAGCAATCCATTCTCCTCTCGGGATTTTGGGCATGTACGCACATGTCCCTGGGGTGATTCTCAAGCCACCAGATCCAGGACTTGAACCATGGGCATTCATGTGGGAGTCCAGCACCATAACTACCATGCCACCTGCTGGCTCCAATGTAACTATGCTTTATTAGTATAGTATTTATACTAATACTTAACTGGTAGAACTAAACTTTACCAGTATACTTAGCAGACAGTGATACTAAAGATACGAATAAGTCTTGTAAGTTCCCACTGAGAAACTTTTGTGAATAATTATATCCTCAGTCTAAAAAACATACAATCAAATCAAGAAATTAAGCTTTGAACTAATTACTGTTTTGCTGTACTTAATATTTTCATGATACTTACTGGTTACTTGAAATACTTTCTGTAGAACAGCCAAAGAAGAATGTTCACTTTCTTCTAAAACCTGAATTTTCAGTGAGCGTAATATTGACATGCTTCTCAGGGGCAAAAATGGTTGAAGGTCAAAATAACTTTACATATTGCAAAAGGCTAGGGCCCTCCAAAGCACCACAGGACAATAAAAAGTAAGCAGTATATTTATAGTTTTTGAATTTCACTGCAACATGCAAGTGGGAGGTGAGAGAAAAACAAGAAAAAAAAAAAAGAAAAGAAAAAGAAATACCCAAGATGGCTCCCTAGAGGAACGATAATTAAAAAGACGAGAAACCCTGTTCGAAAATGGGTTCATAAAACAAACAAGCATACTGACCAGCAACATGCACATAAATAAGCACTTCGTGATTCTATTGAGGATTCTCACATGTGGAATATGTTGTAGGCTCACTTAACTACAGACTAGTAACCAAAATAATTATTAAAAATAAAACAGTGAGGGCCAGCTAGTGGCATGATGGCTAAGGTGTCGGACACTCCTACATGGCTGACCATGGTTCAAGTCCCAGACCCAGTGGCTTGCTTTCTCACTTTCCCTCTCTTTCTCTCTATGTCTCTCCCTGGTCAAATTAAAATAATGAATGAACAAATAAGTAATTCTTTAGAAAAAAACTGGCACTATGATATACATGAATGCTATTCTGTACAGAGATATTTGGGACAATTTCTACCTCTAGACCATCAATAAAAAGATCAATACAAAATATTAACACAATCCAGCATGGTTTTGTGAGATGCAGCTTATTATTAACGAAACTCTTTCTGAAACTAAGTATATTCTGGCTGTTTTATATTCTTTCAGAGAAAGAATTATTATTTTTTTCAACTATAATATTCATTTCACTATACATTTTTTTCTTGCTAACTCATTTATAAAGGCATGGGAAATTAAAACTTATGAAAATGCAGAGAAACTAAGTTCTAATATGGTTTTTAAATGTTTGGCATTTATTATGATTTGTACAATCTGTGATATTTCCCTTCTTTAAAGTTATTTAGTACTGCATCTTTTGTATTGGGTCGTTGGGAAAGTCATGATGCGTTTTTTCTTTGAAATCTAGTATTTTTCACAAGTGCTTAGACTGTCTCTTATTATAGTTACTTATAGAGATCCCATTCTTTCTTCAATATTAAGCTGAATCCCTGCTGCTCTTACTAATCTTTCTATAGTTTGAAATATCTACGTAATAGTACCGTGCCTTGTATATAGACAATGCTTTCAATGTTTTAAAAAGTTAGCTCAATTGAATACAGTAAAGAAACCAAACACACCAAAACAAAACAAAAACACTTAAGATTAGAGGCTCATAAAAATATCATAAATAGCACAGGAAACACTAAAAATTGTTTCATACACACACACACACCATGGACAACAAACATGAAGTTCAAAAAAGTTGAGTACTGATAGTTCCACTTACCAGGTATCTTCTTATAAAATGGACATGTCCTTTTTCTAAATTCTCCTGCATTTGATAATGCTGAGGTTTTCACAGGCCCTCTTGGTAGCCTGCCATGAGCTGATTTTATGAAGACTTCATCTTTACTTAAATGAACTGTTTCAACTTCTGTACTATTAATACGTTGATCTGACCTATTCTGATGTGTTCCGTCCTGCACTGATTTTGACTTTTTAAGTCTCTTTCTTTTGCGCTGAGATCTCCCACTAGAAAGTTCCACAGAGAGCTGACTTTCATTTAAATTCTTTCCATCAAATTCCAAATCACTTAAAGAGCTTTCTGCTTTCCTCTTGCGCTGCCGGGACCCCTTTTCATTAGGACTAACAACTGGATTTAACTTTATCCCTTCTAATGCATGTTCTCCCAGCAATTTCTCATCTTTTCTCTTGGGTGGCAGTCCAAAATACACACCTATATCCATTTGCTTCATTGCCTTGGCAGAGGGATGTCTTGCCTTACACTTAGAACCAGAAGGCAATATTTTTAAAGACTCTTCAGCAGTAGTGGCACTAGAAAATTTTTCTGTGTTTAAAACTGTAACTTTACCATCTTTCATGACATCTAATGCCTTTCTGCAAAAACATGCTGAGTTAGAATTGTTCTTAGCACTGGAGTTTTCATTGGATAATTCTCTGACTTTACTTTGAGTGGGATGACTAGAAAGATAACCTCCTCCTGGGCTTTCAAAAGGTTTGGATGTTTCACTTTTAAATAATGGAAGAGAAACTTGATTGTAAACAGCTGATTCCTCATGTACTTGTTTACGTGATTGAGATGAGTGAAATTCTGGCTCACATGGTCTTGCTTTAGTGTCTTGATCATTTGAAGCAGCAACCTCGCCTGCTAATGCAGGTGGAAACAACATAAAACAGTGATCAGAATATGTTGTGTCATACAGCATACTACCTGCTGTGAATTACACAGCTTTTCATCTCTATCATAAGTTTCTTCATCACTTCGAAGTGGAGAATAAGAGATTTCACAGTCGCTGAGGTCATTTTCTGGCAAAGACAAATCTATGAGCTCTGAGTTGTTTTGGCAGTCTAATTCTTCATCAGCAACAGGCAAACCAACTTCTACCAATGTGTCATCTTTAACAAATTGTGTACGTGGTAAAGTTTTTTGGGACATTTGGATATTTGATGAAATCTTTTCATTGCCTTCAGTTGGAGTCTGAGATTTTTGTAGACTAAGATTTTCTTGTGTTATCAACAAGGGATTAGAAATATGTTTCAAATTGTCAGTTTGTTTCTGAGACAAAGACCATCTTCCCTCAAGGCTACAAAGAGAGCCTGCATTGGTCCCATCTGACCCCTGGGGTGGGCTGTTAAAAGGGTTATTACCAGCCCTACTTTGAGCTAGCAGCAGGTGGGTGTATCTCTTGTAATGAGAAGGAATTGTTGAGCTACAGCGAAGACCATCAGGACACTCTGTAAATTTTAATAAAGAAAAAATTATGACGGGACTACAACGCAGACTAAGCTTCAACAACATGAACACTATAAATTAACCTGTTAAACAGAAAATCATCAGTTCTACTTTGAGGCCTTGTGAAAATAGCTATTTTTACCAGCACAATAAAAATATCAGTATAAAATAGTAACATAAATCCAGCATATATTATGAGGTGCTAGTTATTCTTTTTAAATTTAATACTATTTAAACTGTGACTCAAGGTTTTTTTCAAGAAATGAGATAATTAAAAAATGTACAAATAATCATAACTATTTTCATACATACCAACTAGATTTTTCTACATGTTAAATACAACTTATTATATATTTTTTAAATATAATAAAAACATAGATAGCATGTTTATACTTCCGTTATAATTTGGCACAATATATATTAGAATCTTAGTCACCAAAGACTCTTTTCCAGTTCTTCTTACTGTATATTAACATGATGATTACAATATAAATACATTTTGAAACTCAGCTGTGGGCCAGCAGGTAGCATGGAGGTTAAGCGGGCTAGATCCCAAATGGCCAAGGTCAACTCTGTGGTTTGAGTCCCAGACCCGGGGGCTTAAAAATCATACTGGCATGTGTACATGTGTGCCCAAAATCCTGAAAGGAAAATGGGAGAGAAAGGACTGTGGCATGGCCATCCACTCTCCCCCTGGGGGAGTGATTTCTCTGTCTCTCTCTCTCTCTCTCTCTCTCCCTCTCTGACGAGTGGATATACCCCATAGCAAAACTTAAAAGGAAAAAGAAACCCAGTTGTATTTGTACTTTTCTATACAATTGCATAAAAGATTTTTTTTAAATGGGCCTATTATTTAACTTTTAAGAACACTTATCTGTGAAATGTTAATACCATTTACTTACAGGATCAAATAAGTATAAAACAGAGCCAAAGTACTTAGCACAGTAACTGTTCGATTAACACTGATAAAAAGTAAGATGTTTAGGAACGTTTATGAAATACTAAAATCCATTAAAACTGTCTTAAGTTTTGCAGCATTTTCTACACTTGGACCATTGATTGGTACAGTGTTTCTCCTCTTTCGGTCTACTGCTGGTCTTCCTCATTTCACTGAATGGATATATCTGACATAATGCATTTAGTCAATTCAGAGATAATTACCTTTTTTTGTAATCTTACCTTTTTCCGAGTCTGGTGGAGATTCCAAACATTCAAAAACATGCCATCGAGGTGTCTGACCTAGCAATGAGGAAAAAGGCATCTGGCAGTTTGGGCAGTATCCGTCATAAACTGGACGTATCTTTGGGGATGCTTGTTTGTTCTTCTGAGCTCTACAGGGCTTCCGTGGAGTGGTTTCCCCGGTTTGGGACTGCTGAAGACCATCTTCACAACTTGAATTCTGACTAGAAGCAACAGAAGTCTGACAATCTGTTTCTCCGAGGCACCTAGCATGGTCCTTCACTTTCCCTTTGGCATCTATAGTTCTTTTTTTGTTTCTGTTCCGTTTTGATTGGTCTTTTTCATTTGTTGTTTTTTCAACAGATTTTGGAATATGTTCGGAGCACCTATTTGGACGTACTGGTTTGGGTTTTCTTCTGGATTTGTATTCCCAGATGTCGTCTTCTGAAAAAGTGTCTTCTAACATGGCAAAATAATTTTATGATTAAAAAAGCACTAATCTTATGTATATTGAAAATTGAGAGTCCATTTCTTGTTACAAAAAAATTAATGGCATTATTTTGCTGAGAAATAACCAAAAGTAGCAAAACCAATGGGAGTCTAAAGCTCTGGGAATGAATATACTGACAAGCTACAAACCTTATACCTGAGAATACCTGCTGTTCACTTATGCCATAAAATTAAGAGAACTTATTACAAGGAGAATAACAGAAGTTTTCCATCTTGGCTATTTCATTCAGGTATCTCGGCTTTTTCCAGGACTTACTTGATTCATAAAAATAAGAGTCAATAATACTTTTAAAATTAAGACCTAATGGGGAGTATATGCTCAACAGCTTATTCTCAGGAAGAGCTTTGTAAAATTATTATGAAGTTACTGTCAGTTCTCTTTCAAGTGACAACTGTTCAAATAATTCATAAATCCAACCACAGTCTCTGGGCAACTGGATCAGTAGATATTCCAAACCCTACGTGGCTGATACCTCAGTTTATAGTAAAACTAGGAACACACATCAGAGAGGTGTGTGATTTGGAAAAAAAACCAGAACAACAACAAAATCATTGCCCTTATCGGGTGATGCGTCGATATTGAACCGTTTTGGTGTCCTGGGTCAGTCCATTATTCTCTTCCAGCAGCGATGAACGAACCCTGCACACTGAACAAAGTTAAAGTACGTGAAGTTGTGCTAGTACTAAGGGTACATGCGGTAACGAGACCACAGAGGTGGCCTGTCCCCAGGTGGTCAACCCTCTCTCCACCAGCTCAACACCGAGGTCACTTTCCAGATGTTTTCACTGGCTCTACCTTCTGTATGGACTTTGTAACCTGCAAGGCCAGTGAGCGGGGCCCACACCTTCTCCAGGTTGAGCACAGTTAGCTCCCTCCAGGCCACAGGACACCAGCGCCTTCCCCTTCGGAAGACAGAATTGTCACTCAAGGCCCCTTGCCGCCGCCCACCTGCCGCCCGCGCCCCCGGGGGAGCAGCTCCAGCTGCGTGCGCTCCCTCCAGCACCCCCTCCACCCGCTCGCCAGGCAGGCAGTTCGTGCCCGCACTTTCAGCACTCCTGGGGAGACGGAACACTGTATTTGTGTGTAAGTCAAAGCCACTGACTAGTCACTCCCATCTCAAAAAAGCTTTCTTGCGTGTATCCTTGCCCCTTTACCTTTCACGTCTTGGCGGGAATAGCTTCCCGCTGCCAGGGTCGTGTCGAATCGGCTTATTCTGGTATAAGAGCCAAACTTTAAAAAAAAAATTTTTTTTTTTTGAAGTATGCTCCTTTAAGGCCTATGATCGTTTTTTAGCTTGTTCTAAAACCTGTTGGTTGTCAAAGTGGCGCGTAGGACAATGGCTCCCTTAGCGCTTCTAGCACGCTGTCCCGGAAGCCCTTCCGTGTTGAATCTGGCGCCGCGAATGTCCAGGCTCGGCTGCGGCGAGGGGACCTGGGAGGGGCGGGGAGGCTGGGGACAGCAGTTCAATTACGTGCCTGGGGATCGCGGCGGTCTGGACTTTGGCGTTTGGACGTATGCTTAAAGAAGACAAAAGCGTGGCTGGCGTGCAGTGGGGCTGACGGAGGGTGAGGCCCAGGCCGCGCTTTCCAACCCGAGGCGCGTAGACGCTTCCTCTCGCTCAGCGGCCGGACCGTCCCTTGCGCCCGCGGCCGCCTCCGCAGCCCGGGGAACATGGCGGCGCCCGGGGCCCGGGGCGGCAGCCTCTCCGGCCTGCTGCCCGCGCAGACGTCGCTGGAGTACGCGCTGCTCGACGCCGTCACCCAGCAGGAGAAGGACAGCCTGGTCTACCAGTATCTGCAGAAGGTGGACGGCTGGGAGCAGGACCTGTCGGTGCCCGAGTTTCCGGAAGGTGAGGGGCCTCTCCCGGGACCTCCCCTTCCTCTGGGCCGCGCCCTCCCCTGGGCCTTGTTATAGGCGGGATCCGCGAATCCTCCTTGCCCGAGTGTCCCCAGGCAATGACAGACGGGGTGTCTACAGGGTGGGGACCTGAGTATTCGTTCCCCTCCCGAGGTCCGCCTGGACCTGATGCTAATTCAATAGACCATTGCTATTTAGGGACCCGAGTCGGCAAGGATGGCATGTCCACGCCACCCTGTCTTGTAAGTCTGGTTCCCAGCCTCGTCGTCGTCCTGTTTCTGCATCATCCTAGCTGATGCACAGTTCTGAACCCTTCAGGGTATATCCTCTTATTTAACCCTCTGTACAACCCAGCGAGGGCCTCTGATGATCCTCTTTTACAGTTGAGAAAACTGAGGCCCCGGGGGAGGTTCAGTAAGCCCAGGGCTCAGCCAGTACAGTGCAGCCGCTGAGTTATACAGGCCCCAAGTTTGCTGGTTTCTTAGCCATGCCACACGCACTTCTCTGTTCAAAGTCGTGAAACTTGTCATTTTCAAATCTGCTCTCTCCAGAGTTTGAATCCTGGCTTTGTGATCGTTTGGAAAACGACGGGACAGATAGTCCCAGCCGTTCTTTGAAGCGCACCTTGTCATGGCAGATGAAACTGTACTTTACCTTGTTTGGTCGGGAGTGGTATTGTTTTGCCTGCTAGTGTTGGCATGTGCCCTGGCGTGACACTGAAACCACATGCATAGTTAATGGGTTGGACGTGACAGGGTTCAGTTATCTCATCCCATGAGGTATATTGGAACCTGCCTCTGACAAAAGTCTTGGGTGTCTTTGGGAGTTTTTTGCACTCACCTGAGCAAATGCTAATTTTTTATTATTAATCTTATATTAGATTTAAAGTATTGTGGAATTCTTACTAAAGAACAGGTGCTTGAATGCCTAGCCCATCAGAGGAAACCCAAAAATATACATACTTTTGGAAAACTTTGTAAGGTAGTTATAGAGTACAATGTTACAAACAAGCAAGATACCAACTGGGGTTGGGGGAGTTTTTATTGTCTACTTTTTTTGTATTTTGTTTGTATTTACAGTGAGTGTATTTTATTACTATGAGATTTGACTTCTGTGACTTATAAATAATAACAATAAAATATTCAGGCTTTGTATTTGACGCAGTCTGATTTTCTACTGGACTTGATTATTGAGGACATAATGTTAGCAACCAATATTTCTTGATTTCTTTATTGATAAACTATAATGAAGAAATGATAAGCATCACTTTATTTTAAAAACTGAATGCTTTGTTCATTTCTTAGAAGATACACTGTTTGTGGGAGCAGTGCAGTGGATTCAGATAGACCTGGGATTAAATCTTTATTATTCCATTAGTTTATTATGTAATTTTGAGCAAGTTACTTCTCCAAGCCTTTCTTCCTCACTTGTAATGGAATTACTGTTTTACCTCTAGGTTTATTATATGGATTGGAGGTTATCTATCTATCTATCTATGTGTGTGTGTGTGTGTGTGTGTATGTGTATATATATATATATATACACATATATATATATATACATATATATATATATAAAGTTCTTAATTTACACGTGAGCTTAATAAATGTTAGGGCTTTTTTATTGTAGTCATTGTAATTACTGTTACTATAAAATATTTTATTATTAAGCCTGGCAGATATCTACCTAAATAACTAAGAATGTAATAATTCTTTCTCTACCCCGATCAAAGTTATTCTTGACTAGAAAAAAATTATAGAAGATAGGTTAATGAACATTTTACAAATAGCATGTAAATAAACATTAATCAGTGTTGGTTCATATGATCACTTGATTCGGTATATATTTATGAGTTTATCAAAATAGATAATTGAGAAGTCTCTGTACACTGAAACCCCACTAGTTTGAACTAATTGTTAGAAATACGTCTGAGGTTTTTTTTAGACTCCAGTGGGCATCGCTAGTCATTAGCTGTTACTACTATAGTTACTCATTTACGCAGCTTTGGCTTTCAGTTGCCATGAAATATTTCCAGATATTTGTTTCAAGAGATAATTAGTAGTTTTAATAGCTGCATTTATTTACTTCTAAGTGTGAAATATATCTTTGTTTTCTTAAACAGGTTAAACATTAGTGCCATATTTTTAATAGTAGTGCAAATATACTTCTATAGTACATAGTTCAAGTTTGGGGTTGAGGTCTGTCTCACTGGAATGTCTACAGCCTCATATCCTTGGAAACCCCTCATCAAAACTGTTGTTCTGCTTTTCCCGCAGAATTATCCATTAGATCTGTGAGAAAAAACTTCAAGACAGGATTACCAGAAGTATGAAAGACCTAATAATAAATTTCTCTTACATTAGGAAAAAAACTTTGAATCATAGTCAATGAATTATATTCTGATTTTTGAAAGTACAGATAAGTGAGATTCCAATTTATTTTTTTTTGAGAGAAGGGAACGTGTTCTTATCTACATGGATGTTGCTTCCAGGATTTTGTTTAACTTTGCACTGAAAATATTTTAATGTGCATTTACGGGCTCACCCAAATCCAGGAACAGTGTCAACTTCTTCTCTTTTATGAAATTCATTTAGGCTTTTGTATGTATATCCTTATATACATTTTGTTCCATTTTGATAGTCATATCCTACCATTCTTAAACTTGACCTTCATTCTTAATTGCCCATTTATACCTAATTGTTTATGTTTAGTGTTGATATTTCCCTCTTGTATTTGCTTAAATGTATTGATCTTACCCCCCTTTCACATAGATTATTATAGTATTTCCAAAAAAATTTAGTAGTTTTTGTTGTTGTTAGCTGTATTTCAGAATGCCTAATGACACAGCTTTCCTATCCCATACCCTCCCATAATCTTAGCCCTCCACTCATTCTCTCCTTTTCTTCTTTCTGCCCTCTTTGGTTTCAGTCTCTACCAACTTGCCTTATTTTTTTTCCCTTAAATTGTAATTATTTGGCTTATTATAATCGTGATGCTACATCATATCTTTTATTTCTTTTATTTATAGAAAGAGTGGTTCTTGATAAGCAAAACAATAAATAAATGTAACTGCCACAGCCTTTAAATAATGCTATTAACTCTTAAAGTATTTAGATTATTTGTACTAGTCTTAGGGAAAAAAAGTTCACATTACAGTGGAAATCATTTAGATAAATTTTTCTCTTTCTATTTCCCTTTAATCATTGTGATTTATTTTGTATACATTTCAGGATTAGAATGGCTAAACACAGAAGAGCCTATTTCTGTCTATAAGGATCTATGTGGAAAGGTGGTCGTCCTTGATTTCTTCACCTACTGCTGCATAAACTGTATCCACCTGTTTCCTGATCTCCATGCATTAGAACACGCATACTCTGATAAAGGTATCTACTCTTTAATTCTAGTCCTGGCATAAGCACTAGAAGAATAGGTGACTCATTTGTTCTTAGGCGAGTAGACATTTGGCAAGACTTCAGTGATTCTAAAAGTAATTTCTAATCTATGAATTAAGTACTCTGTGCCTTTTCATCAAGGGTTAAGTTTAGTGATAATAGTTTGCCTATGATAATAGTTTGCCTATCCAAAGAACTAACATTTTGAGTATGGATTTTCTCTGAGGATAAAGTCATAATTTACTTTTTTGCATGATCATGTATTTAAAAAGGTCTTTTTGTATGAAACACATAACCCCACTTTTAAACTCTTCTCACTGGGATACAAAGATTTAAAGTTCTGGACCAGCAGGAGGCATAGAGGGTGAGGTGACTGGATCCCACATGACTAAATGCACTGAGTCCCAACCCGGTGGCTCGAAAAACATGCCAGGCATGTGTTCATGCCCAAAATCCTAAGAGAACAGAGAAGAAGGTATTGCAGCATGGCCATCCCGACTGGAGGGTACTTTCTCACTTTTCCTCAATCTCTTAGTCTCTCTCTGGTAAGCACACATGCCCTATAGCAAACCAGAAAAAAATAATTCTTACTAAGAAATATAATTAGGAACCAGCAGTTAGCATAATGGCTATGTCACTGGACTCCCATGTAGTTGACCGCGGCTCGAGTACTGGACCCGGTGGCTTAAAATCACGCCTGGCAGATGTGCATGTGTGCCCAAGATCCCAAGAGGAAAGGAGAATGGGAGAGAAGGGATTGTGGTGTGGCCATCCCCCCTGGGAGGTGATTTCTGGCTTTCTGTCTCTCTGTCTCTCTCTTTCTGGCAAGCGCACATGCCCTATAGCAAAAACCTCTCCAAAAAAATAAATAAATAAATAAAAGAAATGTAATTAAGCTTTTGTTAATATTGAATGACATGAACTACAGTAGATTGCAAAATAGTACAGCATACTTTTTCCTTGACCTTGCTTCATTAAAAAAATGATTTATTACAGCTGATGTTTTTCAAAGTCCAGTAGGAAATCCTCTTTTATGGTGCTACAAATTCTGAAGATGTAAGAGAGTATACTTAGTATTCACTCTAGAAGTATAAAAAATTATCAGATATATTCTTATTTACATCTTTTTAAAAAGAGAGTATGGGGTAAGTAAAATTAATTAAAAATTCAATTATATTTCAATAAATCAAAACTGTATTATTGGAGTATATATATAAAAAAATCTAGTGAGAGTAAAGATGGGATTAGACTGTTACATGAACAAATATGAAAAATATTTTGAAACTTAGTTTAAAAAAGAAATGGTAGGGACCAGCAGTTAGTGTAATGGCTATGTCGCTGGACTTCCATGTAGTCGACCATGGTTCAAGTCCTGGACCTGGTGGCTTGAACTCAAGCCGGGCACATGTGCATGCATGCCCAAGATCCCAAGAAAAGAATGGAGGAGAAGGGATTGCAGCATGGCCACCTCCCGGGGGGGTGATTTCTCACTTTCTGACTCTCTGTCTCTCTCTGTCTTTCTAGTGAGCATACACACCCTATAGCAAAAACCTCTCCAGGAAAAAAAAAAAAGAAAAGGAATGGTAGATTAAAACTTCCATGAAAGTTAAAAGTTAAACTTCAGATGCTTTTAAATGGTAAGAATTGTATCTTTTGTATCCTCCCCCCGCCCCCCCAGCAGAGAGCACATATACCCCACCCTCTTAGAGATGAGGGGCCAATAAGAAATCACCTTCTCCTCTATCTCTTCCTACTTATGGGATTTTGGGATTTTGAGCATATATACACATGTGCCCAACATGTTTCTCAAGATGCTGGGTCCAATACTCAAACTGGTATTTGAATTGCCTGGTCAGGCATGTGGGATTCAGCCACATTAACCACTTTGCCATGGGCTAGAATTAGATTGTATCTTAAAATTATTCATCAAAGATATTTATTGAGAACTCAGATATTCCCAGTAGCTAACTCATGTTTTCAGAAATTCCTGTGTATGAATTTAAGAAATAAGGTATCGTAGCTCTTAGGTTTGAGATGCCTTTGTTTCTTGTTCACATTATCACATTTACTGAACATAACAGCAATCTGTCCCCACCTAGACAACAATTGTGCTGGCATGGACTGTCTGACCTAACTGTTTTGTAGCTCTGGAGCCTATTGAAGGCTTGAACTGGAAAGTACAGTTAATTCTGGTCAGTTTCAGCTCTTAGCACAGTAGCAGTTACCCAGCCCCAGCACCATGGCAGGCAGCCACGTCATGTTCCTGGAGCAGCTTACACATAGCTTGCCAGAGTTCAGATAGGCAAAAAGGACCATATCTTACAAGTATCATGAGTTTGTCCTCTGATCACTCATTGTTCCTTCTGATCACAAAGGCAGTGGTCATTATTATTATTGTACTGTGCTACATTATTGCCAACCCCTCATATCTGGCTGAATTGACTTCCATGGGATTTAAAGAATTGTTTCCTCTCTCTTCTCCTTCGTTTTCCTCTACTTCTTTTTATGAGAGCCAGGCATTGAAGATTAGGATAGTAGTAACTGAATATTCCAGGGAAGTTAGAAAGTCAGTCACTGTCCATACTTGGTAAAGGCATAGACTTAGAAAAGACCTGATAAGACCTAAGTTTATATCTAAGTTTATGTAGGGATATCTGCCAGTGAGTGCATGGATGAAGGTTTCATATGTATAATTGTAGAGGTAAGATCAATAGTCATGATATAATTGTCATGGTTTGATCAGAGAAGCAGAACTAGGAATTTATTATAGAGAGTTGACCTTATGTAATTGTGGAGCTGGCTATCTAGTCTAGGTGACACTAGGTCACTTCTGTGTATAGTGCCTCAGCTTGAAGATGCCAGGAAAGGCAATGGAATAGGAAAGATGGATATGAAGTAGGAGAGCAGGGGCTAACTAGGACCCGCAGGCATGAGCTGGAATGCACGAGGACCATGTAAGCTTCCAATTTAGAGAGTGGGGTGACTAGCAGAGTAAGGTGGTGCCCTCTGTCTTGAAGCTAAACATTCACCTGGGTCCCCAAGTTGGAAGAGCTAAGGGAAGAGATCTACAACTTTTGTATTCTTCACTATCATCTGCCTTGTATACTACTATCTAGCTCTAATTTTAACTTTCGCGATTCACTTTTAGATGTATCTTTTATGTACAAAATGTATCCAAGTCTTTTTCTTTCTATAGATAAGTTAAATTTATTCATATTTATTCATGATTGTTATGTGTAAGTATTGTGTTCATATGCATATCTGGGTTATATTTGCTGTGTTTCTCACCATGGTGTGCTTCTTTTTGCAATTTTATTTTACTGATTCCTTTAATATTTAGAGAAGTTGGGACCAGCAGATGGTGTAATGGCTACATTGCTGGACTCCCATGTAGTTGACTGCAGTTCAAATCCCAGACCTGGCGGCTTAAGACTCACCCCGGCACATGTGCGTGAGTGCCCAAAATCCCCAGAGGAGAAGGGATTGTGGTGTGGCATCCCCTCAGGAAGTGATTTTTTTGCCTTTTCTCTGTCTTTCCAGAGACTGCACATACACCATAGCAAAAAAGTACTCTCTTAAAATAAAAAGTTTATATTTTTCTTTTATTGTTTACCTTCATACTTGTAACTTAAAAAAAATAGTAAAATCTTTTGAGGGGTTAAGGTGAAAAAAATTGTGTTAGTTGCTATGCTGAACGCCATACACAGATGTTCTCTTTTAATCTGCTGGATTTGTAAGGTAGTTACTATTATTTTTCTCATTCGGTACATGAGAAAACTGATGAACGGAGACATTAAGTAATGTGTATGAAATTCTTACTTCTCTGCACCACCCCACTTCAGTCCCTAGGCAATCATAGCCACTCTGCACTGTTTCTTTTCTCTTTTTATTTTAGAGAGGTTTTTGCTACAGGGCATGTGTGCTTGACAGAGAGACAGAAAGCGAGAAATCACCCCCCAAGGGAGATGGCCACACCGCAATCCCTTCTCCTCCGTTCCCCCCTTGGGATCTTGGGCATGCACACACACGCGCCCGGCGTTAGTTTAAGCCACTGGGTCCAGGACTTGAACCACAGTCGACTACAGCGACATAGCCATTATGCTAACTGCTGGTCCTTGTTTCTTTTCTTTTAGTTGCTTTCAGTATATATGTGACTGTACACATATGTGTTTAATCTTTGGTTTTCGGCAGTTGGTTTATATGTGTTAAGACATGATTTTCTTTGAACTCATCATATTTGATGTATGCTGATGTTCAATTCTATGAGTTTGTATCTTTAACCAAATTTAGAAAGGTTGAGTGTTACTCATTTTTTTCCCCTTCCAATCCGTTTCTCCTCTCTGTTTGGGACTCCAGTTACACTTAGATTTTTGAAACTGTTCATAAGTCCCTGACATTCTGTTCATTTCCCCCCCACCCCAATCTTCTTTCTGTGATCTTTAGATAAATAATTTATGTTGCCATTGACTTTTCTGTCATCTCCTTTTTACTATTGAACTCATCCAGTGAATTTATTTCAATGTGGTATTTTTAAGTTCTAAAATTTTTTAGTTACTTTTTATAATGTCTCTGTTCATGTTTCCAGGGATCCAAACCAGCCATTGGCCCTATGACTTGCACCCTTGCAGGGCACTTGCATTACTACTCCATCTTAGTGGTTGGGCTGATGGCTTTGTTTAATAGACATTTGACCTTGTTGATTCAATTATGAATTCTGTCTCATTTCTCATCAGCTCTCTCTCCTTCTGTCAACCCAGTAATTCAGTTCTCCATTCTCTAAGCACATGCTACATGTTTTTACGTCTGTCTCATATGTGTGTAGGTTAGATGTTTGACTGAGACTTGTAAGTGTACTCAAAATGGGGAATTACCTTTTTCAGTTCTCTTCTCCTTAGGACTTTCCCACACTCTCCAGTTTCCCTGCTTCCTGAGACCAGAAATGCAGTGGGGTTTCTGTTGGAGTTTTAGACCCCTTTATGGTCCCCAAACTAGGCCCACTCTCAGAGCAAGTCAAGAAAGGAAGGTTTGTCAGGAAAACTGGTTTCCACTCTTCTCTCAACACAGACCAGGTATAAGATACCAAAACATGTGGGGATAGTTCTCCATCGCAAGCAGTCGATTCAGTTCTACACACACCAGCTAGGTTTCTCTAATCCAGTTGCATTGTGATACTACCTACATGGAGGGCTCATACCCACATTCCCAACTTAAGATGCCAGTCTCAAGTCTAGGCCTCTGTAATTTCTAATCAACTAGGTATAAGTTAGGGTTACTACAATCTTTTCTTTTTCAAGTAATTTGCTAGAGTGGCTCACATAACTTAGAACACTAAGAGTTACTGATTTATTATAAAGGATATTTTAAAGGATACAAATAAATAGCCATATAGAGATATATAGAGTGAAGTCTGGAGGATCCTAAGTGTGGGAGCTTCAATGCTCATGAAGTTTGGAAGCACTACCCTCCTGGCATGTGGGTGAGTTTCTTGTTCACCTTTCTGCAAGTTTCCACATGCTGAGCTGTCTATAAGCTCTCTAACCCTGTCTGTTTTAGTTTCAAGGTGTAGGCATGAAGTGCTAATAGACTGGGTGGGGAAATGCAGCAGGACCTCTCTGGAATGAGGGGCTTAATTTTATGACGAGGTCTGTAGCCTGCCTTGGGGAGTTTCAGGAACCGAGGACTAAAGTCCAAATAGGTAAGAGCCAGGAACTGTGAATGTAAAGCAAAATATTTATATATCATAATACCATAGTGGGGAAAATCAAAATGAAGTTGCAAATATATGCCTAGGTAAAGGGTATGAAGAGTTTGAATCCTGCAGTAGCCTCATGAATTAGATCATATGTATTTTTAATGTCATAGCTATCAAAGTTGTCATGATGTGGTCGACTCCATGGCATAGGTAATACAATGCCTAAGAGAAGCCAGATTCCACATGATAACCACAGTTCAGGTCCCCAGCCCAGTCAGCCCAGAACACACTGAGCATGCACACAAATGCTCAGGATCGGATAGGCTGGAGGACTGAAGGAAGAGGATTATAGTGTGACCAGACCATGTGGAGGGTGCTCATTTCTCTCTTTCTCTCTCTGTCATTTGTAGGTGTACATGCTCTATTATGAATGAATAAAAACCTATTCTAACTGGAAAAAAAAGAAAAGATTGTCATGAGATTTAGATTTTTCTTTTTATTTTTTCCTTTAATTTGGCTAGAGGGTGCACGTGTTCACGGGGGCTGAGGGGGATAGAAATGAAAGAGAGAAGTGAGAACGCACCCCCCCCATGGGGCATGGTCATGCTGCAGTCTTTTCTCCATTTCTCCCTTCTCTTGGGATTTTGGGCATGCATGCACACAAGCCAGGCATGTTTCTCAAGGTGCCAGGTCTGGGACTCAAACCATGCTCTAAGTCATGGGAGATCCACCTGCCTTAACCACCATGCCATGGATTGGCCCATATTTGTTAATTTTATATATGCTTAAGTGTAGTTGATGATACTGATATAGTTCTATCTTTTCTGTCTTCAACCTGCTGACTATTTATTAATAAAAACAAGCTAATGTGAGGATGATGATATCTCATCATTTTTAACATGTATTTTTTTCCTTTCAGATGGTCTTCTGGTTATTGGTGTTCATTCAGCTAAGTTTCCAAATGAAAAAGTCCTGGATAACATTAAGAGTGCTGTTCTGCGGTACAATATCACCCATCCTGTGGTTAACGATGCAGACGCCAGCCTTTGGCAAGAGCTAGAAGTTTCTTGTTGGCCAACGTTGGTCATACTTGGACCCCGTGGAAACATGTTGTTTTCTTTGATTGGAGAGGGACACAAAGATAAATTATTTTTATATACTTCAATAGCTTTAAAGTATTACAAAGACAGAGGACAGATCAAAGATAATAAAATTGGAATAAAACTCTATAAAGATTCTTTGCCACCTTCACCATTGCTGTTTCCTGGCAAAGTAACAGTAGACCATGCTACTAACAGAGTGGTAATAGCAGACACTGGACATCATAGAATTTTGGTTGTTGGGAAGAATGGACAAATCCAATACAGCATCGGAGGTAACGTCTGCCTATGATTACAATACGTGATGTGTTTTCCTCATTACCTCATAAAAATAAGCCAGTATATCCAAAAAGCTTCCAATCAAAAGGAGTCAGTAAGTTGTAGCGTTTAAGTAAGTTTAGATATCCCATCTTGGTTTTTTTGTTTGTTTTTTTACAAAACCGCCCCATTTGTGTATTGAGAGAAATAAATAGATTTTGGATTTAAGATACTTTAAATGAAAGTATTAATATTATGTTTACTTTCCAAAAAGATATAGCCACACCTTTTTCAAGACCAGGGCAATACTCTAGGAACTTAAGATTTAGATTGTGAAGTTTATAAGCTAAGATTTGTAGAAGATTGTATTTTCTTCCATAGCAACTTAAGTATACTTATAAATCCATGTCCTTTGGGTACATACAGCGCAGTATAAGTATCATGTAAGCATGGGTCATTTTGTTCCATATCTTCCTGGTTTTTGATTTTAAAATTCTCCTTCTTAACAGCTACATAATTAACAAAATCTACCAAAGTACTTTTTTATTAATGTCACTTATCCAGGGAAAACTGACATCTAACCGCGTATTAGTCAAAGAGAAAAATAATTCATCTCTTTGTGATCAGTCCTCCTTCAGTGACAGCCACAGTATTAGTACTTAAATGGGGCTATCTGAATGCCTAATGCAAATAAGGTAATAATATTCCCAAGTCCTAGTGCTATTCTTAGTATGGCAAGGTATTATTCCCTTAGCTGTTCAATTATTTTTATCTCATGGCTGTTTTTATTAGAGTTTGCCTTGTGTGTTGTGGTGTTTGTTTTGTTCTGGCTACTTAGTATTTTGATTTTTGACAGGCAGCTGTGAATTACTACTCAGAGAGTGTCTTTTATAGCAGCTTGGATTTACATGGTTTAGAAGAATTTTTAATAATTTCTATAATTTCCAAAATAATATTGGTGGATATTCTCCTTTGTTAACAGAGAAGCCAGCAGCAAGCTACATTTCCCAGCATGTTTTTCAGAATACTGTTATCTCATGATATATTAATCGTTATTGTTTAGTATTTCAAAATAATTCTTTGGTCATATATACTCAAGGAACACTGTTATGATATAATTTAATAGATTTTGGTTGGTGGTGATGTCATAGGATTTCTTAGGTCTTTTACTCTGCTAATGTGCCTCATGAATATCTAATAGGAGGTTATAGTGTAAAATATTTTCCCGTCCAAAGTGACCACAGAACTCAGGATTCTGTTCCTTTTCTTTCTTTTTATTTTTTTTCGGGGAACTTTCATCAGTATCAACAACAATGACAGTATTAGTAATAGTAATAATAGCAAACATTCATGCCTGGCATTATTCTAAGCACTTTATGTGTATAAATTTATTTTCATCCTTACGGTGCTGTGATTTGAGTAGTTCCGTTTTACAGAAGAACTGCTGAGACCCAGAGAACTAGCCCAAATCTTCAGGAAGGAGGAGGTAGAGCTGTGATGTAAACCGAGTCTCTTGGTCCCTTGACTTCTTTTCCTAGCCACTACATTATGCTACTACTTTTACCAACATCTAGGACAGTAGAGTTCTGCAAAGCAGTTTGGAACTGCTGATTAGAGGCTAGAATGGCATGTCCTCTGGTTATAAAAATAGCATTTTATTTTATTGTGTTAATAGTCTCCACCCTTGAAATTCTGCATGCATTACAAAAGCTGAGAAGTAGGCTGTTAGACTAGAATAGCCTACTCATGTCGCTCTCAAAGTGTGTAAGCTATTACAGGACTTTGTGAGAGAGCAAAATAGTAGATATGAAGAATTCTTAACTTGAGATTCTTGGACACTTAGGAAATGCTTGACTGACTGGCTGTCAATATGTAGCATATAGTAATATTTTTGGAGAAAATGTTCATAATTTTTATTGTATTATCAAAGGAGCGTATTTGCAAAGTTTATTAAAAATCATTTATCTATTACAGCTGCAGAAAGATTAAGATTATTTTTAACTTTTTCTAAGATTATTTTTAACTTTTTCTAGTCTAGATAATAGGTCATTAAAATGCTTTTAAAATTATTTTCTTTTGAATATGCTACTGTACTTAAGTGTACTGTTTATAGTAATTTTATAAGCCGTGCCATTAGCAAAACTCACTCTTGAGAAAAATAGATGCCTTGAGAAACATTTTCACTTTTAGGTACAATATCACATTATTCATATTGAAATCTCTGCAGTAAATATTTGGGGGGGGTATCTAGAAATCACTTTTTAAGTGGGAAAATTGTGTCTTATGATTATCTTGTCTTTTAGGACCTAATCCTGGAAGAAAAGATGGAATATTTTCAGAGTCAACTTTTAATTCTCCACAGGGTGTAGCCATAATGGATAATATCATATATGTGGCAGACACTGAAAACCACCTTATAAGGAAGGTAATTTTCCATTTTTAATTTCAGTTTTAAAACTTCTAATCAGAAAAAACTGATATTTGCTACATTAAAACTTGAACTTAAAGAGTGATGCTTGAGTATATCATTATATCCTTAGTTATCTTTTTTCAGAGGCACTAGCTTTAGTTTTATTCTTAAATAACCTGTTTTTCTGTATGTCAGTGTGTATTTGCCACAGAAGAAAAATCAGTTAGGTTCTTGTTTTTTTTTAAACCCATTGTTTCAGAGTTGTGCCTAATCACCCAAAAGCTCCTAATTTTGAGGTATTTTTCTAACCACTTGTTTGCAAAGTGATCCTTTGTTCTTTAAATTTTCTTATACCTGGAAAAAAGTTACACCACTCCCTCCTCCCTTTGCTTATGCTTAGGCTGGAAATACTAGTCAGTCTAAAAATTTCCTTTATCTTATTATATATGTTTTTGTTTTAAAAAAAAATTATTACATAAAAGTAAAAAGCCCCCTCATGGGCCAGCCAAAGGCATGGTGGTTAAGGCAACAGGATCCCACATAGCTGAGAGTCTGATTCAAGCCCTGGACCGAGTGGCTTGAAAAACATGCTGAGTGCATATGTGTGTGTGCATAAAAGGAGAATGGAAGAGAAGGGATTGTGGCACGGCCATCCTCTTAGGGGTGATTTCTCATTCCTCCCACCTTCCTTCTCTTTTTCTCTCTCTCTCTCCCTCTCTCCAGCAAGTACAGGTATCCTGTAGAACACTTAAAAAAAAAAAAAAGTTTCACCTTCATTTCTAATTCCCCAAACTATTAAAGTTCCTGTCTTCTCAGAAGTTTTCTACTCATATGCAAATAAATTTTATATTAAAAAATCTTTCTAGAGACTCTTAAGCAAATGGAATCATACCATACATACATAGTGTTTTGCAGGGTTTTTAAAACAATCCCTGCTGATGGCTATGTTGTCTATAATCCATTGGTCTTTAAGATGCTATCTACTTTGAAAATGTGCAGCTAAGTGTGTTTAATCCATTCAGTCTACACACCTTGTTTCAGATACTTTCTTGCCTGTCTTACAGTTTCTTGGAGTATTGGCATTTATTCTCATTTATTTATCACCTAATTATTGTACATAGAATATAAAAAACAGTATAAAATAGTATCCATTATAGTATAAATTTCTGTGAGAGCAAGAAATATGTTTTCTTTACTGCTAAAAAATACTAGCACCTAAAGTAGGACCTGGCCTGTGGTAGGCATTATATACACATTTGTTGAATGAATTTATGACCAAATAACATCTGTTTAATTAGGCTTTTTCAAAATATATGTTCTTAGTACAAGAAGGTACTATGTGAAGAAAGGGTTTTGTGGATTAATAAATTAAAGCAAATGTACTTTTTTAACATCTTAGTGACTTTTTTAGAATCATTTATTTTTATTTATTATTATTATTTTATTTTCTAATTTGCACTAACACTAACCAGAAAGGGAGAAAGTAAGAAAGCAAGCCACTAGGTCTGGGACTCAAACCATGGTCAGCCATGTGGTGCTTTACCACCCTAATCGTTGTTGAGTTGTATGTTTTTATGTTTAATTTTTTGAGAAACTTCCAAATTGTTTTCCACACCAGTTGTATCATTATATTATACATTCCCACCCTGAATATGTGTGATTTCCAAGTTTTCTGTATCCTCACCATTTTATGTTACTTGCCTTTTTTTGTTTTTTGAGAGAGATTTTTGTTATAGATACATGTGCTCACCAGAGAGACAGAGAGAAACAGAGACAGAAAGCAAGAAATCATTCCCCAAGGGGATAGCCACACCTCAATCCCTTCTCCTCTGTTCTTAGGATTTGGGGCATGCACGCACATGCGCCTGATGTGAGTTTCAAGCCACCAGGTCCAGGACTTGAACTGCAGTCAATCATGTATTGGGAGTCCAATACCTGAATCACCATGTCACCTGCTGGCCCCCAGTTTTCATTTTTTAAATTCTAGCTAGCCTACTGGATATAAAATGACATCTCATTGTGGTTTTCATAGGCATTTTCCTGATAAGTAATGATGCCAGGGATCTTTTCCCGTGCTTATCAGCCATTTGTATATCTTCTTTGAGAACTATTAAGATTTTTTTTTTAAGAGACATTTTTTGCTATAGGGAGCATGTGCTCACCAGACAGAGAGACAGAGAGACAGAAAGCGAGAAATCACACTCCTCCCTACGCCCCGGGGTGGAGAGATGGCAATGCCACAATCCCTTCTCCATTCTTCTTTTGGGATCTTGGTCACGCACGCACATGCTCGCAGCCTGAGTTTCAAGCCTCCAGATCCAGGACTGGAACCGCAGTCAGCCATGTGGGGGGGTCCAGCAAGAGCTAGTTTTTAAATTGGGTTTCTTGTGTTTTTTACAGTTGAGTTGTAAGAATTCTTTACATATTCTAGGTACATGTTCTTTATCAAATATATGATGGTTTGCCTTTCTACTTTATCATGTCTTTGATGCACAATAGTTAAAGGTTTTCTTGTTTTGTTGTGGGTGGCTTTGTTTTGTTTTTATTTTGTTTTGTTTTGTTTTCCCTTTTATGAGAATGAGAGAGAACAGGAGAGCAAGGGAGGGGAAAAGAAAGATGATAAGCATCCTCAACAGGGTTTCCCACTGTGACCTGCCCACCCCCTGTTCCCAGACAACCCAGTCAGCCAGACTAGGTACAGGCACTAGTGTATATAGGTGATGGGGAACTGAACCCATAATGTTCTATATGAAGCCAATATTGCTTGAGTAGCATGTTAGCTACTGAGCCAGCCCAGAGTTTTACATTTTGATGTTGCCTAATTTATCTTTTTGGGAGAAGGGTGTTGGAGACAAGATCTCACTGGGTTGTGATTCTCTCTTGCCTCAGCCTTCCAAGCATGTGTGTGTGTTTGTGTGTGTGTGTGATGTAGACAAGATCTCACTGTGTCATGATGAGCTCTTCCAGTAACCAGGACCACAGGCACATCCCACCCTGCCTAGCTCTTTCAGGTAGGGTGTCCCTGTGTTGTCCATGCCGTCCATAAGCTCACAGTCCTGCCACACAGATTACAGACATACACCACTATGCTTAATTTTCTTTTTAGTCGCCTGAGCTTTTGGTATCATGTGTAAGAATCTGTTGCTAAGTCCAGGTCACCTCTATGATATACCTCATAGATTTACCTCCATTTTCTTCTAAAAGTCTTCTAGTTAAGGTTCCGTAATTAGATCTTTTATCCAATTTGAGTTGATCCTGTGTATGGCATGAGGTGGGGATCCCACTTCTTTTTTTCGCGTTTTACAGATAACTCAGAACCATTTATCAGAAGAGACTTTTCTTTCTTTATTGCATAGTCTTGGCAACCGTGTTGAAAATCAATTCATCATAGATAATGAGGTTTTATTTCTGGACTTTCAGAAATTGATATATGTGAGTTTTATTGATGTGAGTCTTTAGCAGCCTACTAAGTTAGTTGCTGCCTCTGTAAATAAGTTTTAAAATAGAGAAGTATGATCCTCTAACTTTCTTTTTCAAGGCTGTTTTGGCGATCCTGGGTCCCTTGCAATCTGTAAATTTTAGTATGAGCCTTTTCATTTCTGACAAAAAAAAAAAACTTTTGACTAGTTCTTATGTAAATAGTTATATTATCTGTAAAACCAATTCCCTTCTGATTTTTATGTTTACTGTTTCCTTTTATTGTTGGCCAGTATTTTAATTGTTTCTAAGCATTAGCAGAGATAATGGATATCTTGTCACACTCATAATCTTAAAGGGAATGCATGAAAATTTTCTCCAAATGTTTAATATTTGTTGTGGTTTTTGGAAATAAAATATTTAAGACATTAGGGAAATTTCTTCCTGCCTAATTGACAAGAATTATCTTATTGTATAATTGTATTAAATGGACTTGTTACATTTATTGAAATAATTGTATAATTTTTTGTCCTATGTCTGTTGATTAATGAATTATATTAATAGATTCTTTTGAAGTTAAGACACCTTTTTATTTCTGAAATAAACCTTACTAATCATAAATTATTAAAAGAAATTAGATTTCTGTATCTAAAATTATATTTAATATATTTAAATTCATGTTTATAAATGAGATAATATAACTTTTTATACTGTTCTTATCTGGTTTTGGAGTTAAGGCCACACTAACCTCTTCAAATGAGCTTAGTTGAATTCTTTTTCTGTTTTTTGGGATAATTTGCCTCATGCAGGAAATACTGATTTTTGAGCATTTGTAAGAATTTCCTTTTAACATCTCTTGGGCCTACTGCTTTTTAAAAGAGAAGTTACTTGATTATTATCAATTTCTGTGATATTTCTTAAATCAAGATTTATTTCAAAGGCTAGTCCCTAGTAATATATTTTTGCAAATTAGATTTGTTAAAAATAAAAAGTTTAATTGTTGAATAGTCTTTATAGCCTTAGATTATAGAACAGACACTAAAAAATAATGCAGAACAGTATCACTGAAATAAATCAATGTAATTCACCATAGTTACAGAAAAACACTTGAAATCATATAACATTTATGATAAAATCAGTAAACTTTAAATGAACACCCTCAGTGTGGTAAAGGTCACCCCCAAAAAGCCCATCACTACACTTGATGTGCACCGGTCCTCACCCAAAATTGGGAGCGGTGCATTGCACTGGAAGTCCTAGCTACTGCAATGCAGCAAGAAAGAAATGAAGGGAATGCATTTTGAAAAGAAGAGGAGTAACTATTTGCCAGTGACATGCCCTGTACCTAGAAAATTCCTTTTTTGTGGGGAAAGGCGGTGGGCTGCTTTGAGTGCTTTGTTTTATTGTAACCAAACCAGCTGCAGGTCCAGGCCAGTGGCCGGACCCATGTTTAGCTGCTCAGTGCTCAGAAACTGGTAGTTGTAAGACAAGTGTTGATGGAAAATAAAGGTAGCATTATTCAGGACACTGTGACCTGGGAAGATGGCAGACTAAAATCTTAAAGGGAATGCATGAAAATTTTCTCCAAATGTTTAATATTTGTTGTGGTTTTTGGAAATAAAATATTTAAGACATTAGGGAAATTTCTTCCTGCCTAATTGACAAGAATTATCTTATTGTATAATTGTATTAAATGGACTTGTTACATTTATTGAAATAATTGTATAATTTTTTGTCCTATGTCTGTTGATTAATGAATTATATTAATAGATTCTTTTGAAGTTAAGACACCTTTTTATTTCTGAAATAAACCTTACTAATCATAAATTATTAAAAGAAATTAGATTTCTGTATCTAAAATTATATTTAATATATTTAAATTCATGTTTATAAATGAGATAATATAACTTTTTATACTGTTCTTATCTGGTTTTGGAGTTAAGGCCACACTAACCTCTTCAAATGAGCTTAGTTGAATTCTTTTTCTGTTTTTTGGGATAATTTGCCTCATGCAGGAAATACTGATTTTTGAGCATTTGTAAGAATTTCCTTTTAACATCTCTTGGGCCTACTGCTTTTTAAAAGAGAAGTTACTTGATTATTATCAATTTCTGTGATATTTCTTAAATCAAGATTTATTTCAAAGGCTAGTCCCTAGTAATATATTTTTGCAAATTAGATTTGTTAAAAATAAAAAGTTTAATTGTTGAATAGTCTTTATAGCCTTAGATTATAGAACAGACACTAAAAAATAATGCAGAACAGTATCACTGAAATAAATCAATGTAATTCACCATAGTTACAGAAAAACACTTGAAATCATATAACATTTATGATAAAATCAGTAAACTTTAAATGAACACCCTCAGTGTGGTAAAGGTCACCCCCAAAAAGCCCATCACTACACTTGATGTGCAACGGTCCTCACCCAAAATTGGGAGCGGTTCATTGCACTGGAAGTCCTAGCTACTGCAATGCAGCAAGAAAGAAATGAAGGGAATGCATTTTGAAAAGAAGAGGAGTAACTATTTGCCAGTGACATGCCCTGTACCTAGAAAATTCCTTTTTTGTGGGGAAAGGCGGTGGGCTGCTTTGAGTGCTTTGTTTTATTGTAACCAAACCAGCTGCAGGTCCAGGCCAGTGGCCGGACCCATGTTTAGCTGCTCAGTGCTCAGAAACTGGCAGTTGTAAGACAAGTGTTGATGGAAAATAAAGGTAGCATTATTCAGGACACTGTGACCTGGGAAGATGGCAGACTAATGCTGAAAACCCATCTCTGGAAGGAGAATCAAATTGGCTGAGTAGAAACAGCCATAGCAGCATCTCTCTGGGAAGAAAGACCACAATATGTACCTAGAAAATTCTAAGAAGTCTATGAAACAGTTACTAGAACTAATAATAATTTATGAAGGTTATAGAATACAAAGCCATTATGAAAATATCAATTGCATTTTTATATATTAATAATAATCTATTGATAATTAGTATTTGAAAATTCTGTTTAAAGTAATAACGAAAACATAAAATGCTTAGAATCAATTTAACAAAATGCATACAAGACTTGTACACTTCAAAGTATAAAACATTGCTGAGAGGGACGAGCAGTGACACACTGGATTCACATGAGGAAGGTTTTGAATTTCTGTTCCAGGACCAACCTGAGCACTGCAGATGTCTGTGTGCCCGATACAGGCCACCTGAAACTGGGGTGGATCTCAGCATGGGGACCCTGATGGGGTGTGTGTCTCTGTCTGTCTCTCTTTCATGAGAAAAAAATTAATTAATAAAAAAGACTGCTGAGAAAAACTAATCCAGTATTCACTATTAATGTAAATATTTTGAATATAATTAATATTGAAAGTTCAGTATTAAGATATAAATTCTCTAGATTGATCTATAAATTCAACACAATCCCAACCAAAATGCCCTCAGGCTTTTTGTTGTTGTTAATATTGGATTCTTGGAAAAGTTATGACACATTTTTGCACAGAAAAAGTTAGAAAAATACATCATGACTTTTCTGACAACTCAATAATTAACAAGTGGATTCCAAATTTAAATGGCAGTGCAAAACAAAGGATATAGATTGTCTAAAACACTCTTGAAAAAGCAAAATTTAAAAAAAAAAACAAAACAAAAACTTATTCTACCTGGTTTGAAGACTTCCGACATATACTCAAAAGCCTAGAAGTAGCTCTATACCTTTATAGCTATTTGATTTTCAAAAAACCATCAAAGCCATCAAGTGTAGAAAGGAAAATAATTTCAGCAGATGATAATGGAATAACTGGGTATTCATACAGTGTATCCCTGTCTTCTAGAGCATAACAAGCATCAATTCAAGATGTATTGCAGACCTAAATATAAAAGCTAAAGCCATTCAGAAACCACTTCTCAAAGGAAGATATACAAATAGTTCATGAGTATAGGAAAAGGTATTTGACATCATAAATCACTGAAGAAATACATATCATAACCACGAACCTTGGAGAGAAACTGTCACACCCAATAGGATGGCAGAAAATATTATGGTGATCTGCAGGTAGACAAAAATTTCTCAAGACAGGACACATAAACAATAATAATAAAAGAAGAAAGATAAATTTGACTTTCTCAAAATTTAAAATGTCTGCTCAAAATGTAAAATTTACCCTTAGGCCTGGCAGGTAGCATTGTTAAGGTGCCAGATCCCACATGACTGACTGGAGGTTTGAGTCCCAAACCTTGTGGCTTGAAAAACACTCCCAGAATCCCTAGAAGAAAATGAAGGAGAAGAGATTGTAGTATGGCAATTCTCCGGGGTATAACTTCTTACTTTCTCCCTCTCTCTGTCTCTTTCCAATGAGCACAAGTCCTATAGCAAAAAATTTTCAAAAAACAAAAAACTTCGCAATTAGAAAAGAAAAAGAAAAGCCACAGGCTACCCGAAGATATTAGCAAAAATCCACAAAACGTATCTATCAGAGAACTAGTGTCCATGATATATAAAGGCTCCTATAACTGAGAAATTTGGGGACAACACACTAAAAAATAGCCAAAGATTTGAACAGTTTTCAAAAGATATATAATCAAAAGCACATAAAAAGTGTTCAACATTATGAGTTAAGAAGGAAATGAAAATTAAAACCACAGTGGTATGCTGATCTTTTGATGATAGTATATTGATGTTTGTGGTTACATCGAAATTGTAAATGGATAGAGAGATTGATGGCTAGATAAAATATAAAGCAAGTAAGTGAAATGTCGATAATAGAATATATTCAGGTGGTGGGTGTTTGCTGCAGAATTCTTCCACCTTTTCTGTACGTTTGAAATTTTTCATGGTAAACTGTTGGGAAGAGTCTAGAAATGAAAATGTCGAGCATCTTTTTCCAGTAAAATGCACAAGTTTTTCAGTTCATGAAGTAAAGTCAGTATTGCATCATAGAACTGCCTGGGTTCAAATTCCAGATCCCTAACTTACTAGCTGCTAGTTTCTAGGTATGGTATTTTGAGAAAGTTACTTAAGGATCTGTATCTCTATATCCTTTATAATAATCAGAATCACACTCAGGGTTATGAAGATGGCAGGGTGTCTGGCTCATTCTTAGATCAATGTTTGACATATACTGTTTGAATGTGTGTTTATTACTAGTTAAACATAACTGAAGTATGTGCATTTAATTTTAAGAAACATATTTTGCTAGATTGCATTTTTAAATTTCCTTTGCTTCTAAAATATTTTATAGCTAAGAGGAGGTAGCACCAGTTCTGCTGGACACATCACAGGGAAGGAGACTAAGAAGGGGAAAGTGGGAGAATGGACAGATGGGGAAATGAAAGAGACTGAGAACGTACATTTGAATAACAAGTTCACTTTATAATTGATTAGTCTTTTTTTATGTTGTGTTAAAAAATACTGTAAATGTTCTATTGGAAATTTTTAGTTAACAAAAGAAAAAAGCAAAAGTAACATCAAACATCCATCGAATTTCTGTAGATTGACCTAGAAGCTGAGAATGTGAGCACTGTAGCTGGCATTGGAATTCAAGGTACAGATACAGAAGGTGGAGCAAATGGAGAACAGCAACCCATTAGTTCCCCGTGGGATGTAGTTTTTGGAACATCAGGTAGGGAAACGTTTAATATCAAATATAAATAAAGTTTGCTTAATATAAGTAAATTTTTAAAAAATATACTGAGATACTCATTGGGATTAATTCCGTTGCTAATTATTTTTTGCTTTTATACCTGTGACTTGGAGTTTGTCAATTGTGTAAAAATAAAGGCATCAGTAACATACAAGATATACAAGTTATACAAATATATACAAGATATATAAAGTATATACTACTTTAAAGAATTTGATTTTAGCTACATCTTTCAATTAATGCAGTTCCGAATATTAGACTGAAAGAATCACAGTTTCAGAACTTCAAAGGAATATTCTTCACCAGTACCACTTAACAGTATCCTTATTTATTCTAGTTTGGAAAAGAAATGAAGAAATCAGAGAGGTAGCTACTTTGCCTTTAGATGCTTAAAATTTATGTTGAATCAAGATGACTTTTTTTGAGCAGTTAAAAATTTGCCCTACTGAATTATGCAGATATTGACGATGAATGAGATTTATATTATCTTTATGATCAATATTACCTGTAATCAGTTGATTGAAAAAAAAATTCAAGAGTACTTTTCCTGGTATTTTTATTACTTATTAGTCCACAGTGATGCTGAGATGGTTGTTCACATGTCTAATGTCAGATTAATGAATGAAATTAGAATACTTTGAAAATGGAATTTGATTTGTGTGGTCTCAATATATTCACAGAGTAAATAAGTACAAATTTAGTTGAATGACTTTATATTTGAAATAAATCTCTGTTATGATACCAATTTGGTTGCAATACAGTGAATTACTCTTTGTTTATTATTATTATTTTTAATTTGACCAGGGAGAGACAAAGAGAAAAAGAAAGTGAGAAAGCAAGCTACCAGGTCTGTGACTCAAATCACAATTAGCCATGTGGAGTCCAGCACCTTAACCACCATGCCACCTGCCAACCCTAATTGTGAATAATTTTTATACAGCTTTTAATGTTAATAAAATAAATGAATGAACTGGTGCTTTCTGCACTTAATATATTTGACTTAGGTGTTTCATGGAAGTTTTTTCTTTTTTTAAAAATTAATTCCATTCTGGGACCAGCAGTTAGTGTAATGGCTATGTCGCTGGACTCCCATATAGTCAGCCACGGTTCAAGTCCCAGACCCGGTGGCTTAAACTCACACCGGGTGCGTGTGCATGCATGCTCATGATCCCAAGAGGAGAATGGAAGAGAAGGATTGCAGCCTGGCTTTCCCCCCTGGGGGGGGAGGTGGTGATTTCTTGCTTTTTATCTCTCTGTCTCTCTCTCTGTCTTTCTGGTGAATGCACATGCCCTATAGCAAAGACCTCTCTCAAAAAAAAAAAAAAAAAAAAAAAGAATTAATTCCATTTTTTGAATTCTATTTCTAAACAATTATGCATTGTTGCATGGTTCACCAAGAGGGTGATGTGTTGGGAATAATGCATCTCAGGTTCAGGGAATAAGAGGGTACACCATATCCTATGTAGAGAATTTTAAAATAGTAATAAAACTAGTTAGAGCTCAATCTTTTTCTTATTACTGTACATCAGCAATTTTAAATAATTTCAGAGTTAAACCCCCCTACCAGGACTTATCACTGTTACCTCCCGGCCTTTGGTATACCACTGAGCTGTTAGAACATAAGTCTTACAAATGGAAAAACAGTCTGAAATGGATCTATCAGTAACATAGTCAAAACTTACAGGAGGAATTGTTGCTTTGGTATGTTGTTACCATCTCTGAAGGAAAAAATATTTCTGCCCTTAATATGTATGTCCCCAGTGACTTATAGCTTATAAAATAGTTTGGATATGGGTATTTTCATTCTGCAACTTGAAATTTGCACCTACTGTATCTGTCAGTATTTGCTACCGTAGTGTCACCTGGGGAATGATCAGAAAGACTCACACCTAAACTTTTATTTCTTGTTCACATAAAGAGTTGAATTTTAGCTGATCAAGGCTGAGCTAAGCTGAGTTTAGATCTAGGCTGTTCCTTGGATTCAGATCTGGCCCAATTGTTATGCTACTTCCTTCAACATGGCTGTCTCAGGCATGTGTTCTTGACAAAAGGCAGGAGCACAAGAGAGAAGTTCCTGTTTGTTACTCACATTTTAAGCCTGTGTCCCATGTCTTATTGGCTTATCTACTTTTATTAAAGCAAGTCACATAACCAGGCTCAAAGTCATAGGGCAGTAGTATACTTTGCCTATAATGAAGCCATGGCGAGGATGTGGATATTTAACATTCCTACAGATAAGTGAAGAATTAATAACAGCAGTTCAGCCTGTCATGTGTCAGAATTTACATTGCTTAAAAACAGAATGTACTTTATGGGATACCTAAGATGGAGTTATTTAATGGCCAAAGAGTACTGAAGTTTTTCTATAGGTTAAAATGTTTAATAATGCTTTATGGCATGAACTTTTTGGTGCTGATCTCTGTATTGAAATGTACCCTCATTGTTTTCCAAGAAAAATCTCCCTCAGATTCCAACTGGAGTAAGGTGGTATTTGAGATTTAAGTCTTTCTAAGCTCAGTTTTCAAGAAAAGAGATGAATCCTATCTTAGGTCAATAGATCATAACTCTCCATTTAACTTATAGCTTTGAAAATGTCTTTATTCCAAGCAGTGGCTGGAGGAGTATTCTTGAATGCACTTAAGCTCAACATGAATGCTGACTAAAAGAAAATGGTTTTTAAGCACAGGACCTATAATCACAATGACTACTCTAGTCCAAGAATTTAACTTTGGTCTATACACCAAGACATTTGTGGTTAGGATTTGAGTAGTATCTACAAATTTCTGTATACTACAAGAAATTCTGCTTAAAATTTGAGGAGGGACAGCCCATGGCCAGGTAGTTAAGATGGCTGGATCCCACATGGCTGACTATGTGGTTTGAGTCTCAGATTCAGCGACTTGAAAAACACGCAAGCCTTGAAAAACACACCAGGGATGTAAGTGTGTGTGCTCAAAATTCTGAGAAAGAAATGGAGGGTAAGGGATTGCATCTCCCATGAGGGAGTGCATTCTTGCTTTCCCTCCCTCTGTCTCTTTCTTCCTCCAGTGACTGCATTTGGCCTCTAGCACATTTTTTAAAAAAGAAAAGTTTGGAGAAAGTGGTCAAATTATCTTGAGATTTTCAAAGCGATATGTTACTCAAAGACATTTTAAGAACCACTTCTTTAAATTAATCTGAAATCCAACCCTGGGTTAATGTATATTGTAAGAGTGTAGAGAAATTGTATCATAGCATATTTGCTCTATTTACAGTTGTTTTTGCTAAATATATTTTAGCATGATGCCATCTATTTGAAAGTATGACAGTACTAAACATAATGTATGTGTTTATATGTGTATGTTTGTTTTATTTTTAAAAATCTAAAAATACTTCACTTTAAGAAATAAGAATGCGGGAACCAGCAGTTAGCATAATGGTTATGTCGCTGGACTCCCACGTAGTCGACTGCAGTTTGTGTCCTGGACCCGGTGGCTTAGAACTCATGCCAGGTGCGTGTGCATGCGTGCCCAAGATCCCGAGAGGAGAATGGAGGAGAAGGGATTGCGGTGTGACCATCCCCCCTGGGGGGTGATTTCTCGCTTTCTGTCTCTATGTCTCTTTTTGTCTGTCTGGCGAGTGCACGCGCCCTACAGTGAAAATCTCTCCAAAAAAAAAAAAAAAAGAAAGAAATATGAATGTACACTTCTAGTCAATCTTTTCATGTAAATGTGAGGTCTTTTCATTAAGGGGCCCCTGAGAGTCTGTTTCACCACCCAAAATATATTGTTTAGATTTCCTTAAGTGTAGTGAAAGTTTAAAACACTTGCAAAGAAATCTGAGGGCTGAAGTCTGCTAGATTTTTGTGGGGGAGAAAAGTTTTTTTAAAATTTGCTATAGGGCACATGCATTTGCTGGAGAGTCAGAAAGAGAGAAAGAGAAAGTGAGAGAAAGCCCCCTGCAGAGAGGTTGGCCACACTGTGGTCCTTTCTCCTTCCTTCTCCACTCAGGATTTTAGGTATGCATGCACATGCACTTGGCCAGCTTTTTAAGCCTTTGGGTCTGGGACTCCAACCGTGCGGCTGACCGTGCAGGATCCAGCCACCTTAACCACCATGCCACTGGCTGGCTCCTGAAAATTATTTTAACTCATTCTTTTCCAGTTGTCTTTTCCATACCTAATTTAACAACAATTTCAGCTACTTGTCTTTATCTAGTCTTTCTAAGGTATTCAACTTTGCTTTCATAGAAGTATCCTTTTTTCATTCATATTGCAATGGTTTGTGTATTTGTGTATATTTAAATTACATAAGTGTACAACTGATTTAAACAAATATGTGAATAACTCAACTTTAAGTGAGCAGAGGCTAAGAAATATTGTTCTTTTAAACACTTAAATTTTCTTTTTTTTTTTTTTTAAGAGAGATTTTTGCTATGTGGTGTGCACACTCAGAGAGACAGAGAGAGAAGAAAGAAAGCAAGAAATCACCTCCCCCCAACCCCCTGCCACCAGGGCATAGCCATGCTACAATCCCTTCTCCTCCATTTTTTTCTTGGGATTCTGGGCACATATGCACACATGCCTGGTGTGAGTTTCAAGCCGCCAGGTACAGGACTTGAACCACAGTTGGCCATGTAAGCATCTAGTGATGTAACCTTATGCCATCTGCTGGTCACAACACTTAAATTTTTTAATATCTAAAAAAATTGTATAGGATATTTCTGAAATTCTACCATAATTAGGAATGTAAAAGAGGATAAACATTAATAGGGAAACATGAAAATATCAGTTAGGCATTGTGATATCTGTATAATTGGCCTTCTTCACTACAAATAAACAGACCACAGCTATAAGCAGTAGCATGGAGAAATATCAGATGTTGTTTGAGTGAAAAACACAAGTCACAGGAGAAATATACAATGTGATTTCTTTAGAGAAAATGCAGTAGCATTCAAGACACAATAAGCATTGAGAGATGTACCCCGACATGGTCAAATTA